AAATAAATAATTTTATGTAATAATTTTTCCCCTTCATAAATATAAACAAACGCCAGGCTTACCTGTGGTCTGGCACCTGGCCGCCTAGCGCCGCACAGCTATGTACTCAACATCCACTTACGTTCCACATGCAACAACTTTGCTATCGCTCTTCGTGTAGCCGTGTCACTCTCTTGCGCTCTCTCTATCTCTCTCTCTGTTCGCTGGCTTCGTTGAGTTGCGCTGTAAAAGAGTCGCATACAGGTGCACGCCAACAGCGACTACCTCGCTCTCGCGTCGCTGGCACCTACAGAGCCGCCCGCCCACACACAGACACCCGCACACATGCAATGACATGCTCTTCGTTTGCCTGTTCACTCGTTCGCTCTCTCTCTCTCTCTCTCTCTAGCGAGCGCTCTGTGTTGGCAGCAGGAAACGTCGCAAGGAAATGCCAAAATGTTCAACGTCCATTCGTTTTCGCATGTGTGCGAGCAACTGTAACTGTATGTGTATGTGTGTGCGTGTGTGTGTGTGGATGACATTGCGGCGCTCGTTGGGGCAGCGCCAGTTGTCGGCTAACGGTAGTCGTTGCGAAACTTTTGCTGGAGTAACGTGTCGCGCAATTGAAATTGGCGGCGTTTTCATCGTCCAGCGCCAGCGTCGTCTCCAATTCGCGTGCTCGCGACTTTTTTAAAAACGTCTCCGTGTGTGTGCGTGCGTGTGTGAGTGAGTGAGTCTCAGTGCATGTGTGTATGTGAGTGAGTCTGATTCTGAGTGTGTGTGTGTGTGTGGGGCTGCCAATTAGTGTGTTACATTTGTGCAACAGTCCCGTGTGCGTGTGCGTGTGCGCGTGTGCGTGTGCGTGCCCCATGCTGCATGCGTGTGCGTGGGGCGCCGCAGTCGCGAGACCAGCTTCAAATTTATTAACATATTTTTAAATACAAAATGCAAATCTCGAATAGCTCAACTAGTCAATAAATACATATACACACATACATGCATATATAAACCGATATATATACATATACATATACATATACAGCAAGTGGAACCTTTCTCCTAGGTAAGCTTAACCTGTAAAACAAACTTCTAACGAGCTTTTAATTCACTTTGTCTTGCCTTCGTCCGCTCAAGTTTTATTTGTCCTTTATTTTCTGCTATTTTTTTCGGTTTATTTATACTTGGGAAAACTTTCTACGAAATTCAATTTTTGACCAAGGCCCTGGAAAATGGCCAGCCATAGAAATGTCACCCACAACGCACGTTTATGGTCATTCAACTGAATTAGATCAAGTTAAACGATGTCTAATGTCAATTAGATTATGTGCAAATGAAAACACAAGAGTCTACTGCGACTATTTTCCATCAATTCAATTAATGGCAACTGCGAGATAAGAGCTTAAAAATAAATTTTAAAAAATATCCATATATATTTTGTGTCTAATTTGAGGTTAAAGTTTTCTGACAAAGTCAACTAAAGGCCTGCCTAGTAATGTACTTGTTGATCTGGTAATTCTTTGACATATGTATATAGTGGCAACGCTCTTAAGACTATATTTAGGCTAATAAACTAACTCTCCGTGAATAAACCAAACATTGCCGTCCTCTATCTCCACTCACCAACTGCATTTCACTTAACTTTAAGATTTAATTTAATTTAATTTCTTTAAATATTAGCTTTAGGCAATGATATTATATAATATCATATTATTTTAAGCAAATTATCAAATCAATTTATAAAAAATATTGAACATTTATTGGTTAATAATGTCATGCATTTGGTCCGTTCAATTAAATTTCATTTTGAGCAGAGGCAAATGTCTTATGCGAACACAAAGACCTGAGGCTATTATGCTAATTACCAAAGACAATATTTTATGAATGAAACAGTTGGAATATCGGTTTTTGCTGCTCCAAAGATGATTTTGATTAAGTTTGCTTTTTCGAGAAAACCCGTTAAATGACTCATTTGTGGTTATTCGGAGCTGCTGCAGTCCATTGTTTGGCGACTTGGCTAAAAAACAGAACCGAATATTAAAGTAATGCCAAATTAGATGTTTTCCGGATTATGCTTTAATTTTGTTATATTAATATATACATCTTCGGCAAAATAATTTTTCAATCTACAGTTCAGCATTTTCATTTTATTTATTTTTTATTTATTTTTTTTTTTTAATTTCAACTAATAAAACATGTTTTATATGCATTTGAAGTTGAAAAAAAAAACTGTTTTTAATTTTAGACAGTGTATAAAGATATATATGAATAAATAATTATATTATTAAAATAGTTTCTTTACATACTTTTTTTTAATAAATTTTGCCTATTATTTATTATTATTTAAGCAACACTTGAATTAATTTCAGTATTAATACTAAATAAAACAAGTTAAAATAGCACTTAAAATTTATTAATTTAACCAAAACTTGAACCATAAAAAACTACAACAGTTTTTTTTTATCTTTCAACAATAATAAATAAAATCGCAAATGAGCTGTTTTACAAGACAAATCAAGTTAAGTCATCAACAACAAAACAACAATTTATTTTTGATGCAAATTTCTACGATATATAATAAAAAATTTCAAATGAATATCTACTATAATGAATAGCTGAAAACAAAATCATAATTATAGCAAATATATTCTTGTAACATTATGATGTAAAACATTGTAATACGAGCCTAATAAATTAATTAACATATTTACGCTGACAGCCGCATGGAAGATCATTCAAGATTCGTTTTATTAGCCAAACACCTCACATATTTAATGAGCTCTATTCAGCGGCGATGTTTCCCTTCCCAATCAACCTTCGCAACATGCTAATTAATGGCTAAGAAACAAACCAAAAACTTTGACAAATATGAAATGACAAAATTCAATGAGCAGCTGAAAAAAAAAAAAACGACAGCTGTAAAGTTTACAGTCCACAAGAAAAATGTTGACCCAAGTAAATTAGCGTGAAAATTCCTGAACAGAAATATTTAGTTGATTATGAATGCTAAGAGGCAAAGTGTAGAAGAAATACCAGAGTTAGCTGGAAATGGATGTGGAGTGCGTGGGAAAACGTGTCAAACGGCTAACTGGGAAAATTGTGGCAAGGTCAGCAGCAGACGGCGACACGCCCCAAACTCACGTGCAGCACAGGGCGAAATGCAGTTGCTTTTATTTTAGTTTTAATTAAAAAGAGCAAAAGTGACTTTTGAAATGGTCAAGAGATAAAACTGCAATAACTATAAAGAGCAGTTTAAAACGGAATTGACGATCGACAGTTGGGTTGGTTTGGCTTGGCTTGGCTTCGATTGGGTGGTTTGGGTCATGCCTTGCTATGTGGGGGACGCACACGCGTCAATTTGTTAAGCGGGTCACGTACGAGCCAACCCTATTGGCCAACCCAAGTGCCACACAGGCCTCTTCCGTTCGACATTTGCTCTATCTATGTGCGAGTGTGTGTGTGTCTGTCTTTGTGTGTGTGTGTTGTCATCAACACGAATATAAAAATCGAGAATTAAACTCGATGAAAATGGCAACAACTTTTGCTGCCCCACTCAAACAACGCCCCATACGACTGGCGCTGCTTCTGTTGCTTCTGTTCTTCCAACAAATCGATTTCAATAAAGTTGAATTTTGTTTGTTTGTTTCTTTTTTTTTATATCGTCTTTATGGGCAATGGCTTTAAAGGCCGCTGCCAAATGACGCAACAAATTAAATGTCAATAATTTAAAATAATTACCAAAAAAAATACAAACGATATCAAAGCAAGTAAATAAAATAACGTTTAACAGCAAATCCCAAGGCCAAATAAATTTTCAACAATTTTTATGGCTTTTTAATCAAATTAAATTGCCATAAAAAAATACGCAAAGGCAAGATAACCGAGTTGAGAATTGGCTAAATAAAAGTAAATCAATAGCAGCATAATTTAAAATAAATAAATGCACTTTAAAGTCGAATAAGAAAGAGCATAAAATAAATAAACAGACAAAATGTGATGGGAACTTTCACTGCGACTGCGACTGCGACTGCGACTGCGACTTCATTATTGTTAAAGGGTTAATGGCTGCGTGCCCATGAAATGAAAGGGTTGCGCCTTGGCGGCTCGGGCTCGCTGCACTAATGACCTGCATTTTGCATGTGAAATGGGCGCAGCCTGAGCCCATTTAGAGGGTTGAAGTGTAAGGGTTTGGAAAAGCAGCTTGGGAAATACGTGCATATCTATCTGCGAAAGGGATTGAGCATGGTCCAGTGCAAATTAAAGAATTAAGCTAATAATTATTTGATTTATTGCAATCAAAAGTCTCATATCTTCAAGTTAAATTTAAGTTTTATACCCGCTCGAGGTATTGAGGTATTTTGGTATCTGTTATTAGTATTATATATTGTAAAAATTATAGTATATTACTTCAAACGAGGCCTAAATATATTTTGAATAAAAAATATCAATTAAACTATAGTCCTATATTTATGTATTTGGTTATTTTATTTTTATTTATTTTTTTATTTATTTTTATGTTAGTTTATTTTTTTTTTTTTTTACGCTGTTTTATTCCTCCTGAAATAAAACCAAATTGGGCTCCTGACCTTGTATAAAAGACTTATAAACAATGTCGTTACAAATATAAAACATATATTGCAAATATTCTTAAAATTATTTATTTAAAAATAAATAAATTTTTAAATAATTAAGCAATATTTTGTTTAATTCACATACATGTAGCTTCTTTAAGAAATTTAATTTAGGAAAATCGAAGATTAAACATCACTAAACCGAAAGAAGATTAAACATCACTCGAAATTAGGGATTGTGTAATGGGCGTAGCTATTTTTGGACCAGGAACGACTGCTATGTAAATGGATGTGACACGTACTCACTTATTTAGAGCTATAGAGTAGTTGATACAACTCCAATTCCAATACGATGACATAATATAATATAATATAATGAAATATTATAAAACGAATAAAAATGTAATGAAATTTCTACCCCTTATATATACACAATAATAGTTAAATATTTTACTTTAATATTTATAAACAGCATTAAACTAATTTAAACTGCATTCACGCATCTCACCTCTACATTGCCATGGCCTAGCTCTTAGCGCTTATAAGCCTACAATTTGATAGCCATTACAGTGACCGCAGTGTGCGGTGCTGGTGGTTGAATCACAGCGATTCCCTGGTCATCCTTGTAGTCCGCATAGGGCACTGACAGCACAGAATCCATGCCCAGGGCAGCCATCACACGAGTGGAGTAGAGGCTGGTGCAGGTGGTGAATAGTAGAGGTAATCCCTTGACACGACCCAAGTCCATTAGGGCACTGACAAGCCGCCGTCCCAGGCCCTGGCGTCGCACCGCCGCATCCACTGCCAGTATACTCAAGTACAGGGTATTGGTGACGTTGTAATGCTCAAAGATTCGCACTCTGCGCTCCACATCGGAGAGGAAGTAATGAACATGCTCAATTAGCTGCTGCGGCTTCTGCTCATTTACTTCGAGCCAATTCTGTTCCAGATCGCTGGGCCGCAGTATGTCAGCGAAAGCCACGCCCACAATGCGCTCCCCATCGAGGGCAACGAGTGAAGTGCCCTGACGTATTAGCGATAGCCGATACTCTCGTCTCTTTGGATGATCGTGAGCCACCGGCTGAGCACCTGGCGTCTGCATCAGCGGCTCCTGGCCATAAAAATGATCGCGCAAGAAACGAGTTGCCTCCCCGATATCAATCTCTTGCATTAATCGAACGATGACCATGATTTTCATTCACTAACTGAATGAATTTGTTAAACACTAAGCGAGCTTTTCTATTGGCCTTATCGCTAAGAGCTTTTGGTCTGGAAATATTTCATTAATCGCACTGATAAACAATTGTTAGTGTTGTCATATTGACAAATTATTACGTATAACAATAAATATTATTTTAATTGATAATTCTAAAACTTGGAAACACGAATTTGATAGCAGCTATAGAGATTATAGAAAATATTACTTGGAGAATTAATCTAGAAATCGTTTACTACAAAATTGTTTATTTCATTTATCAGTTTGAAGTATTAGCTCTTGAAGACAAATGAGAGTCCTATCTTATCCACGCTTTTGATTAGTATTTTGTTTTTAGTATTTGTTTTTTTTTTTTTTATACCCTGAACCCATTGAAAATGGGAAATCAGGGTATAATGGTTTTGTGAAAAGTATGTAACAGGCAGAAGGAATCATCGCAGACCCCATAAAGTATATATATTCTTGATCAGGACGACGAGCTGAGTCGATATAGCCCTGTCCGTCTGTCCGTCCGTCCGTCCGTCCGTCCGTCCGTATGAGCAAAAGGATCTCAGAAGTTATAAGAGCTAGAGAGAAATTTGGCATGCATACTCGTGTATATCATAGGCAGTACGAGTTTGCTTTATTTTTTCGATAACTCATCCGATAACTTTTTTATCGAGAATAATCGAAAAATCGACATTGTTTTTTCAGCCTAATTTGAACACTTTTCAACCAGGAGACTTCAATTTTGCGTTGTATATAGAGTTAATAGACACAAAGATTTTGTAATTTACAGATTTTGGATACCACGCCCCCTTCGCCCCCCATTTGTAAAAAACGCATTTCAAGTACTAGAGACTTGTGCTTTGGAATGTACACACATTTTAACTATATGAACACATTCTAAAAGTTTTATAAAGATACTCTTACTACAAGAGAAATTATTCAACTAATAAATTCTCATAATATTGCCCACATTGCAGCGCAGCCCAAGCGCAGCCGATGCTTACTGCGCAGTTAGCAGAGCGCGTGCTTATAAGTACATGTGTATGTATGTGTGCATAGAAGAAGTGCAGAATGATTAGAATATCAGCTTGGAGGGTTCAGGGTATCTCCCAGTCGAGCAGTCTCGACTGGAGCCTTCTTACTTGTTTTTTACAGAATTGTCCTAACATATATAAGATCTGATTAGATTTTTACTAACGTGTACATATATTTTATTTTCTTTTTAGTCGGTAAATAGGAATAGTAACAATTCCCTTTATTCAAGCAAACAGTGGCCAACATTCAATTCTGTTATCATTAAGAAACCAAAACAGAATTAATATAAATGTGCGAAATCAAAGCTGTGATGACAACTGCTTTAGCATTTTGAATTTGAATTTAAATAGTCTTTCACTTTTTATTATTTTTTTTTCCTACGTTGATTTGGCGATTCTTATATAGCTAACAATCATATTTACTCATGACAGCAAATAATAGCTTTGTTTATTTATTTATTTATTTTTTTTGTTCATATTGGGGTCAGCTTGATAAGTTTTTGCATAAATTATCAAATGCAAAGCAGTTGCTGTTCATAAATAAAAATTTTGTCTTCGAGGCACAATAAACATTTGATATAAAAACATCATTATGTCTCAAGTCTGAAATGGCTAGAAAAAACACATTATTGATAAACCTATGCGCAATTGATTACCATTAAAACTTATTATTTACTAAAATTGAGAAGTATCTATTTAAGTATTATTTTACTAGATTCAAAGTAATAAAATGTTCAATTTCTTAACTGAAATAAAGATGTTAAGCAGCTCAGAGAAAACAGAAAAGACCTACAATTATTTAAAATTAAAAATAAATTATATGTAATTATTAATTCTGCTTTCCAAAACAGAAATATGATATGTAGAACCCCCATGGCTTCCACTTACTCATATATTATTTGATTTTCTAACTATCGATAAATATTTTATTATTTTTAATAAATTTCCCATAGAATGCTATTACTGGCCGCTGTTCGCAGGAGTTAGGGTATTTCCTAATCGAACACAACTTAATTATTTTCGGGTTTCACGAACGCTTGAAAAAATTATATAGATTTGCTATCTGATTGCTCTTATCAATAAGAGTCTATGGCTGAAATACATCACGTTTTCAAGAATAAACGAATTCATACCACACAGCGTGAGATTAATTATAGACTCAGCAAATTATTAAAAATAGAATTTTAATCAAATCAAATTAAACTTATAGAGCCTGCTTGTCTCCTACTAGAAAAATGTCTTATACAGTCCCGGACTATACAAGGGCATTTCCTGCAGCTTGATGGCCATCACACTCGCCTCGGTGTGCGGCTCTGGCGGCCGAATAACCACGTTGCCATCCTCATCCTTGTAGTCCGCATAGAGCTCCGAGTGCACGCACTCCATGCCCAAGGAGGCCATCAGGCGCGTCGAGTACTGGCCCGTGCAGGTGGCCACCATCAGGGGATAGCCCCTGGTGCGGCCCAGCTCCATGAGCGTAACGACAAGCCGTCGCGCCAGTCCCTGACGCCGCATCGTTGAGTCGACAGCCAATGTCTTTAGATAGAGAGCATCTGTGACGTTATAGTGCTCAAAGAACTGAGCGTGTTTCTTAATATTGCACAGGAAATAATGAATATGCTCCATCAAGAGCTTCGGCTTGCGCTCATTGACCTCCCGCCAGTTCTGCTCCAGATCGCTGGGATGCATGACACCAGCAAAGGCGACACCCACAGTCCGACCCTCTCGACTCTGATCGACGGCAACCAGAGAGGTGCCTTGGCGCACCAGCGACAGCCGATACTCGCGCTTCTTTGGATCGTCATAGATCAACGGATGATTACCGGGCGTCAACATCAGCGGCTCGTGCCCATAGAAATGATCGCGCACAAAGAGGCTGGCCTCATCGATATCATCGATTTTCATTTCCCGCACAATCGTTGTCATCTTGCCAGCTATGAAAACTAACTGCAGTTCTCTGTCAATTTACGGTTTTTTCACAACTATTCCAGTGGGCTTATCTCAACAGATAATAAAACCTAATTACCTGTACTTGAATTCAAGTTTGCAAACTCTAAACATATTCAGGCACCTAGAATGCAGAGATAGCGCCACTTAACTGATAAAACAGCAAACGTTTGGCCGACTCGACTTGCATATACCCTATAATTTAATCAGCTGAAATATATTTTTTCATACATATTGAATCTTTTTACTCTACACAAAATCTCGATTATCATGTTATATGTTGTTTATAATCTCTCTTGATCTCTCTAGTTTTGTTATCGATGGAAAATGTTATCGGAAATCTTTTATAAAATTATATCTACTACATCTTTAGAGCTAGAGTTTCAAAATTTTAAATATAGATTCCTGTGTATTTTATTTAAATTTGATTTTTGTCATAATCCACCTCCTCCCTCGAAGCAACCCCCTTCTCAGAAAATTTGCAAATAAAACTGATATACATACATCATTTCATATAATCTAATGTTTTAATCAAATTTCGATCTCTATTTTCCAATAAAAATTTTTTTAACTATTTTCTATACATATATACCTTAATATACCCTACAATTTCAATACCATTACACTGGCCTTTGTGTGTGGTGCTGATGGTTTAAATACTATAATGCCATCGTCATCTCTGAAGTCGCAATAGTTTTCCGAGTGCACACACTCCATGCCGAGCGACGCCATCAGCTTTGTCGAGTAGCAACCGGTACAGGTGGCAACCAACAGTGCGAACCCCTTGGCTCGACCGACATCGATCAGGGCCGTCACCAGTTGTCGTCCCAAGCCCTGGCGCTGCATCGTGGCATCCACGACGAGCACCTTCAAGTACAGACACTTCGAGACGTTGTAACGCTCAAAGAACTGGGCATTTCTCTTGATGTTGATCAGAAAATATGCGATGTGTTCCATATATTTCGTTCGTTTCTTGTCCCTCAGCTCATTCCAACTGTGCTCTAATTCATTTGCGCTCAGCACACCCGCATATGCCACGCCCACAATGCGATCGACGTCCGTGCTACGATCGACAATAACCAAGGAGAGGCCTTCCCGTACAGCTGACTCATCCAAACTGGCATTCAATCGCTCACATTTGCCATATGACTCCAAGAGCGGTTCGTGTTTCATAAAATGTTCCCGAAACAAGCGACTCGCTTCATCGATATCTTTTACAGTTAATTCGCGCACGATCGTTGTCATATTGCGAGCTTCACTCTCAAACTGAGTGCTCTTCCAGAGCTTTTGTATATAATATTCTCTCTTATTGTAAGCAGCTGAAGAAACTGCGAATGAGCTAACAAAAAAGCTAAAGATAACGAGAACTTAAGGCGACAAAGATGATTTGTAATCTGAGAGTCTTTTGCTGAAAGATAATACATTTATATTATATATGCTGTATATATGTTTGTATATAGATACTGGTTGCTCTGTGACTCAGCTCGTCACCCTGATCAATAATATATATACTTTATGGGGTCTGCCACGCCTCCTTCTGCCTGTTACATACATTTCAACAAAACCATTAAACCCTGATTTTCCATTGAAAATGGGTATAATAAGGGTATAATAAATATTCGAGTAATAATTTATATTTATTTACTTCTTAATTATTATTGATTCATAATTTTATTTAATCATCTATTACACACTAAGTTCACTGATAATTAAAATTAACAAATTTGTGACATATTTATACACATATTTTTACCAAAGTAGATAACAAGTGTATCGAGTCAGGGAATAAACTGCTCAGAGTTTTATAACCATGATGCGTAGATGTGTATGTGGTGCAGGTGGATTGAACACAACCTTCCCGTTGTCGTCCTTGTAGTCCGCATAGGCCTTCTCGTAGACGCACTCCATACCCAGGGCCTGCTTCTGGCGTGCCGAATAGAAACTGCTGCAGTAGGCCGCCATCAGGGGGTAGCCCTTGGAGCGACCCACTTCCATGAGAGCGGCAGCTAGACGTGCGCCCAGTCCTTTGCCACGCATTGAGGCATCCACATTCGTTATGTGGGAGTAGAGCAGCTTGGAGACATTGTAACGCTTGAAGAGATTGACTTCGATTTCCACTTTGGACAGAAATACCGCAATGCGTCCCCAAGTATTTGGCTCCATGGCGGCGGCTTCTTCGCGATGCTTATCCAAATCGCTGGGGACCTGTGGACCAGCCAGCACCAAGCCCACAATGCGTCCATCATTGTTTTCATCCAGAGCCAAGAGGCAGGTGCCCTGCTCTATCATGGAAATGTGATATTCGTCGTTCTCCTTCTCATAGCATCTCTGCACATTCTCGCCCGAAGACGCGCACAACGGTTCGCCATTATAGAAATTGTTGCCCATAAATAGCTTGACGTTCTGATAGTCCGACACCTCCATAATACGGATGAGTATGCCATCTTTTGAGCCCAGCGCGCTTGACATCTTTAGTATTTTGATTTGGTCACAGAACTGTCTCAACTTTTCACCCAGCGCAACTATATATATGAGGTCTAATTGAGCTCTTATCAGTACGAGGCGTGTGTATGTAGTATATATGTACACTATATTGCACGCTTTTTGACAAACACTTTAAACGACGTACACTTAATTTCAATTCGAGTATTTGCTGGACTGAGCACTTATCAATGAGTATGAAATTAATTTCACATGGAAACAATATTAAAACTTTTTGCTACAAATAATCAGAGCTATGATAACTATTTATTGATGAGATTTCCATAAACGTTTTGATTTGTTTTCATATGATTCAGTATTTGGTTTGGAGATAATAACGTAGATAATATGGAACGCTTTGAAAGACGTGGTGTGATTTTATTCATATGTATAAAATGGAATATAGAATTTTATATTCTTATTATAGAGCAATATGATAGTAGTAGTATAAGAGATAGTAATATAAACGTGCAACTTAAAAACTTTAGTTATAATAGAATCATTTTTGATTATAGTTTGATATGTCTCAGGAAGAAACTAAACAAATAAAAGTTGGAAATAAATAAACATATGAAAATCTAGTTTTGCTTGATAAAATGATATAAATATATTAACATTTAATACAGGGAACTCTATTATAAGCCAAATCTAATTTATTCTATTAAAACTTATATGATTTTGAAAGCATTAACAGTTAAAATGCAGCTGAATTGATCTTAGAATACTTTACAGAGAGAGATAGAGATCTATCGCGATCTTTGGTATATGAGTTCCAACTGGAACTTCTTCTGTTCCAAAAACTGGAGACAGAATACAAAAGATGGTTTACCATATGTAAACCAAACCCTATCACTAATCCCAAAATAACATAAAGTCTACCGTAGAAATAAAGTACATCTAACTGTTAAATTGCATATCGTGCAGCCCTTTATGCAGCTGCCTCACTCTTTGTCTGCATCAAAATTCTAAAAATTAGAAACGCTTTAAGCAGCCACAATAACAGAGAGGAACAGACAACCAAGAAAACACTGAACTGTTTGAGTGGGTGGGCGCCCTGTGTGCCGTCGTTTGGCCTGGACGAATGCCGGCAAATTCCCAAACTGGCCAAAAACCAACATAATTTACATGTCTGCTGGATAACTTCGACAGAGAGAAACAGTGCAATGTGTTAATAAAGGGGCGGTGGGGAAGTGGCTCCAGGGGAAAATAGGGTACTCCGTCTGGACCTGGGCAAGCCAAACAGTCTGTTGGCCATGTTATGCCAGACAAGTTACAGTTGTTGCTGCTGCTGCTGCTGCTGCTGCCGTTTGTTGCTCTTGTTGCATGCTTTGCTCGTCGTCAGGTGCTTAAAGACCCCGTAACTGATTCTCTTCAATTTGCCCGTCGCAAGTTTATCAAAGTTAATCAGAAATTAAGCAGTCGGGAGCTTTTCATGCGCTGCTGATTGAAATAAATTGTGTTAGGCGATTTTAAATTAATTTTTATTTGCTCGCACTTGGACACTGTTCAAACAAAATGAAAAAAAAACGAACTACTACGTATATATATATATATATATATATACATACATCATAAAAATGTGATATGCTGAAGCCGCAGGAGTTGCACAGCTTGTGACGCCCACTCGTGCCACGCCCAGTATGCAACGCACTGTTGCATACTTTTAGGTGGCATGCACAAGGCAAAAATTTTGCCTCAAATATTTGCACAAGTTGCATTTTTGATTTATGTTCGTGCAACGTGACCCAAATTGTTGCAGGTTGCACAACTAATTAAAAGTGAAAAGTTGACAACATTCTCCAGTAAAAATTTTGTATAAAGTATACATGTATAAAAATCTCTCTCTCTCTCTCCGTATATATGTTGTTTGTTGTTTTTTTTTTCCATAGCCCGATAATTTATGGCGCACATTTGCTGAAAAAGTTGCGACCACAGCAGAAAATTATTAATGAAAATTCAATCAAAGTTTGCACGCGCCTGTGCCACGCGGCATATGTTCCATATATATAGTATATTATACTTGCAACACACACACATGACATATATGCCCCGAGCTGCGGCACATCGGCGACCTCGAGTCCGCCCGACCGCCCGCACTTGTATCTTTGTCTGGGTGACCCTAATGAAGATTAATTCAGACCAAGCGTCGCCCAGTGCTGCTATGTGCTCTTGCTTCTTCTTCTTTAAAATTAAAAGAAATAAAATTCTAGTCTAGATGACGCTCTAACGAAGACCGAAGAGCACCAGCGACGATCCCAGATGTGAAACGACTTGCTCACTGCTGATTAGGTTGACAACAATGCCTTGAACCAAGCAAACAATTTAATCAAATCATTTTCATTGATTAAGATTTCTATCGTGATACTGGAACGACCATAGAACGACCGAAATTTGAATGTGGGCAGTGCATGAATAATGAATACACTATTTAGAAGAGGGTTTTGAGAAAATTTTAAATAAAATAATATGACAAAAATAAAATAGTTCTCTATTCTAACAAAGTCGAAGAATTATTATGAATATTCAA